GCTGGGTTCGCTCAAGTTTCTCGTTACCTCATGGCCGCCCACGGTGATTATTGACATTATTCTGGCTCCAATCTTCGTTATGCCGAATGGCTTCCCCGTCACCAGTTTTACAGTGTTGCAGTTTCGACTTTTTGTCGACCCCACTACAGCCTCTGGTATTGACTGCGAGCAACCTATTGCCTCGTTCATTTTTTGTCTTTCGATCTCTTGCTTTAGTCGTTGTTCTATTTCTTTCGCCGCCAGGTCCTGTTTCACTTTATTGATAGCTTCCGCCGCCGCTTTCTCATAATTTATCTCTAGGGCGTTCCTGGCCGTGGCTTCTATTGCACTATTAACTTGCGTTACAGCTTTCACTGTTTTCGTTGGCAGTTCCGCACTTGGTGTTTCTAAGTTTTTCGTTTCAAAATCACCTTGTCTATTTCTCTGGTTCTGCACCGCTGCTAACGCCAACTTGTGTTTGGGGTGACTCTGGTTCTTGACTGCCTCCCAGAACAACGGACAGTCCATCCTGAAGTGCCCCTCTTGGTTGCAGAAGAAGCATCTTGCACCTATTTTGATGATCAAGCCGCTATAGAATTCGTGTTCCTCCATCTGGCTCATATCTTCCTCATCAGGTGCATATCCCCAACTCTTCATGCCCTGCTTGTATGTTGTGCAATCCGCCACGTGATGATCAGCTGACCCGCAGTTTGCACATGATCTACGTTTGTCCATGTCATCTCTGGGCTTGTACCATGACGACCTTTGTGGTTGATTCCCCCCTTGCGTATTCCTGTTATCTGAATACGAGTATTTTTTGGGTTTCATTAGCATGTACTCTCTTGACTTCTGTCTCATCTCTTCTGGAGTCGGTGCACTGTCTTTTGACAATGTATAGTATGTTGCTAACATTGTTCTCAAGTCATCACTCTTTACCCCATCAATGAACTTTGAGGCGATGCTAAAGTTCCTTCTATTGGTGGACTCTTCCGGGTCACTCCTTCGTCTGAAGCTCTCAAGATCATCTAGGAACCTGTCTATCGATTCATCGTCCCTTTGCCTTCTCTTTTCAAATCGCATCATCGCTTGATGACCCTTCATGCCTGACCCGAATCGATTTAACAATATCTCGAAGATTTTATCCGCAGTGTCGCGTTCTTCTTCTTTCTTCGCCACCACGCATTTCAATGCCGTGCCTTCCAAGTTGCTGAAAATCGCTGTGCATGCTTGCCTCTCATCGTTCAAGTTGTCTTGTTCCAAGTGCAACCTCATGACTTCTACCCAAGTGTCAATGCATCCATCTGAATCATCCTTGAATTCTTTCGGTTTTTTGAAAGTTTTCGTGGATTTGTTGCTTCCTCTGTCACTCGAGTCGGTGTTCCTTGTGGCAAAGGCTTCTAGTGTTCTGTTCATCATTTCCCAGGTGCTTGCCCATGTCATGACATCCGGTCCCACGTTGTTGTGAGTCGTTGAGTCCCCTGGACCACCCGTTGTGTTTGCTGTTCCACTTTTCATAATCGCTTTGCCCCCCCCCGGTGCTGCACTCGCGGCATCCCGGGGTAATGGTAACGGTGTTGACTGCCGTTTGCTCCGTTGTGGTTCCACGAAGTCGACTCTGTTGCCTTGCGTTCGCTCCGCTGCTGGCCTGTCCTGTGACGTTGAGTTCCTCAAGATTGCGTCTAATTTTGCCTGTATCGCACATGAACTTTCAGCCTGGTCCCTACTCATCGTATCCATTCTCGTTTCCAAACTCCCCAACTGGCTATTCACTGCGTCATATCGTTGCTTCATTTCTTGCATGTCTTTCTTGATGTTTTTGTTTCGTTCTCCATCAGTGGTATCTACCTTGTCCGACATCTGCTGAAGTTTTTCCTCTGTTGCTTTCGCTAGATTGAAATAGCTGTCCAGGTACTCATGTTTGTTGTATCTTAATTCTTTCTTTATCACATCTCTATCCTCCTCGCTGTGCTTTAGTCTCTTGTCAATCTGATCTAGCTTTGCCATCGAATCGCCTAGCTCAAGAGTAGTTGTTTCATGGTCAGTTGTTGCCCTGTTGTTGGCTGCTGTTCCCGGTCTCATCTGGTCTTCGTTTTGGTCGGTGTGTGTCATTTTCGTGGAAACTGTTCCGAATGTTTTGCCTTTCTCGGTCTTTGGTTCCTCCGTCACTATGTCTCTTGGTTTCATCCCGACCATCATTGCCAACCTTTCAGTGAATGACGTTCTTTTTGCTTGAGACTCGTCCTTTACCGTTTCTGGCGTGTTGCCCGTTGTGTCTTCCACAGTGTCTATCGACGAGAACTCCATGGACTTTGGATTTGGTTCTTCTGCATTTGGCATCGGTGTTGACTCCGTCGTCTTCTTCTCCACCTCATCCACACTCTGGTCCGGTGTCTCTAGGTCAACCTCGATGGCGGGTTCTGCTTGTTTCCCTTCCATGCCCTCTTTTGTTTTGTTCTCCGTATTACTCCTCGTGTTGACCATGCTAACTGAAAAGTTCTTCCTGGTTACTTTTGGGCCCATGGATGCCGTTTTACGTAGCGACGAGTTATTTTTTGTCCTTGATTCTGTAGATCTTTTTTCAGCCACCGGTACCCTGCTCCGTCTCATGATTTCCATTTACAATTGATTCTATTTACAATATTGGTATTTACAAAATCCTACTCTAAAAGAAAATATTAAATAAACAAAAAAAAGTTTTGCTAATAAAAAGAAAAACTACTTTACTGTTCCTTCTAAGATTTTGTTAAAAGTCTACTAATTCGTGATCGTAACACTATCGTGTTCTAACTAGTCCTAGTGCTTTTGATTCAATTAATCCTACCTGTATCAAGACCCTTTAGTACCGTCACTCCACTTCTTCTTGCTGTCCCAAGCTTTCTCTCTTTTGTCCCAAAAGAATTGAGAACACCCCCGTGCGTCCTCTTCTTGTTGTAGTGATCCCGTGCTGGTTGTCCCCTTGACGTGCACTGCACCTGACACCAGCACCACCTTCCCACTTGGCTGGTCACCTCTTCCAGTCAAGTTTCCTAGTGGTCCGGTTCTGTTCTTGTGAACCACTCTCCCACTCGGCTGGTCACCTCTTCCAGTCAAGTCTCCTAGAGGTCCGGCTAGGTTGCAAGCTATCTGAAAACCCTTAAAAACGCCCCCCACTTGGGCACCTTTTTGAAGTTACTGGTTTAGATTGCTAGATTGATCGAAACGATCGGTCTTATAAAACAGTATGGGTATACTATTTAATTATTATAAAGGTTTGATCCAACTAATCTGGTATCAAAGTCACTGTCATTTTTGTTTTATGGTTTTTGTTCCTATTTCTATACTTTTTTCTTGTTTTTTGTCCCCCTAGTAACCACCCCTTACTTGGTTAGCTAAGCCTCGTTTCGAGAGCGTACCAGGAAGTTTTCTCAAGTTTTCTTAAAAAGCTATCACGGTTCAACTGGAAGGTTTACACGTTTCCGCTGAACCGTACCACCGGTACTCTAGAATGGGCATGCAGCCCGGAGCTGTGTCAAGTGGGTTCGACTCCGTAGTCATGATGTCGTAAAAACACCCATGAGCGCAATAAAAACACTATGTAACAGTCGCCTACTTCGGTCACATATGAGGCTTAAGAAAAATAGGCCCTATAACCATTGGCTCAAGAGTCAGGGACACTATCTCTTGTGTTTTTCTACCTCAAAAACGGTCGGAGCCAATTCGGTTCGCTTGCGACATGAGACTAGAACCCGTTACAGCTTAAACGCCACTACTAAAATATTCCCCCACTCTAGAAAACAAGAACGTCCCCATATTTAGGTCTCGAGATACCCAAAATACACAAACGCCGTTAAAAACAGGGTCGGAACAATCCGTTAAGTTACTTTTTATTAGACGGTGGAACTTTGATCCATTTCAGATGGATCAACCTAAAACTCGCCTTATCTCAACATAACAGTCATAAAACACACTCGAGAAAATTAAATTAGGTACTAACATAGCATTACGCTTGAGAAACAGAGTAATTAAACTAATTAATGACTCTGGCATAAATGTAATCAAATATAACTTAAGAAGTTTTCTAACGATGAGTTCCAATCAAGGGAAATAAGTTTTAACTCAAGAATATAGTTTTGGATCTGGACCATTGGGAGACTTCACTTGTCCGCCTTTCCGTTGAAGGTTCACACTGGTCCAGTTGATTTTAGCTCTGCTCTCGTATTTGTTTTGTCTCCTGTATCAGATAGGACAGCTCTACTCTAGTTTTCTACGATGGAAATTGCGAATAGCAATTTCCCACTGTATATGTTTGACAACTTCCCGCAATTGTTAATTCGGTCGTTCTGATTTCTTATTTTATGTTTTCAGTTGTCGCGAGAAAACTGAGCATGACAGGCTCCATTCGAATTTTTGAAAAACAAAACTTCATTCCAAAACCACGTATTTTCGTGCTCCTCAAGGTCAAACTTCCAGATATGACCGACTGGCACATACCGAAGGCCACCACTTCTCATTTATACCCCTTCTCACTACCTCTCTTGCTTTTACTAGGGTACCCGATGCCTTGGCCCTATCCGCATTTGCCTGGCTTATCTCAGATCTCAAGAGTCTCAGTTAAAAGCTGTGCACCGCTTGATCCGAAAAAAACACCGTTATCGGGCAAGCGAAACCGTAAAAAGTCTGGTATAATGTCGTTATCGAGACATTTTCTCAGAAATTTAATTCTCAGGAAACTGCTATTAAATTTATTAAAATGTTTTAAATAATCTAATACAAGTTTCCAAGTGAGTTTTCTTTTCAGGACCAATCTAAGGAGTGGTGGTGGCAGCAAAATTGCAGTTGTCGTATTTATATTGACGTATTTATATAATGCTGGTATGGGCCCTATCCAGCTCGTGCACTACCGTACCTAAACAGAAGGGCCTCTTTTATAATTTACCTTTTTTTTCATAATAATGTTACCACGCCTAACTTATGAAACGAATTCTCGCTAAATAACATTCTTACTTGAAGTTGAAATATGCTTCTTTAATCGTTTCAGGGAAAATGCTCCACTGAATTATGGCTAAGAGAGTTTTACTGGTCACGGCTAACGTTGGTTCATTATTTGAGCAACCAAGTAGCCTTCTGCATCACTGGAAGCAGCAATTTGGTGACTTATTATTATACGAAAAACCCGATTTCTTCGCATTGCATCTTCAGGAGCTGGGTGGAAAATCTAATGACCTAGGTAGAAATTCGCATCTTTTGGAAACCATTATCAAGTTCTTTTTCGAGCACAAAGCGTTGTCTATGTACACTATTGGCCGAGCTTTCATGGACCAAGATCATAAAGATGACGAACTTTATACGGCATTGGGTAGTATCTACCTTGTTCACCAATCGATTGCAGAGCAAACTGAAATGTTTTCTTTTGTCGAAAACCAATACGTTCCCGTGGCACCCCCTAAGCAAGTATCAATTAACCTGGAGCAGTGTAATTTTGTAGACCGTCAGAAATTTCCCATCCAGTATTTTCCGCAGGGTAAGTTGTCACGGAAGGGTTTCATGCGAACGATGTGGTCTCTTGGTAACATGAAAATGGAACTGTCTAATATTCATCTCTTTCATGATGATTCAAACTTACGGGCTCTTCAATCCTCTCCATCGGACTACGCTGTCTTCAGACGCAACGCGCTTTCCTACTTTCTCGGTAAATTAGACATTTCAGTTCCTTCGTTTATATTTGGAGACTTCAACTTCAGAACTGATACGAAAGCCTTAATATCTTATCTCATATCGGAAAAGCGTTATGCTCTATCGAAATCGATCAACAAAGTTTCTATCGATAATGAAAGTACCGAAGGAGAAAATTGTAACGAGAACGTAATGGAAGTTGAGGCCAAGAAATTCAATTTAAAGTTTGGCTGGTTGAAAGAAAAAGATTTCCTTCGTCAGTTTGATACAGAAGTAAAAGCATTTCCATTTTTAAAAGAGCTGCCGGCTGATTACCTGCCAACTTACCCCATTTGCGAAGACAGCGCAATGGCTTACAATAACTCGAGATGTCCTAGCTGGTGCGACAGAGTTTTGTTTTGTCCAGAGGCGTCTCGTATGATTGACCATTCGGAGCCAGTAGCGTATAAAATACTTGGCTCTGATTTTCCGATGGGAGACCACAAACCTGTGTATGTTGCTTATTCTCTGCGCCCTGAATTAAAAAATAATCTATCTCCTTCCAATTTCCGAGAACCTATCGCTAAAAATCCAAACAATTTATTTGAGCTCAATGTCAATTCATATTGATTAATTCAAACCGTTGGCCCTAATGTAATATCTCAGAAAGTTTGTTAAATGTTGCATATTTCTTTGTTTCTTTTAGCTTCGGTGTCTTTTATATTCAATGATAAAATATGTAAACTATATTAATGTACAGGTTCTTCGACGAATTAAGTTGTTTTTGTATCCTTGAGTTAACTTTCGAACCTGGATTACTTGGTGTGAAAAAATAGTGCGGTAAATCTGGAGTCAAAAGGAAGCTAGTAAAATTAATTAAGAAGAACAAGTTTATCTAATTGTTCATTTGTAATAGCTATTTTTGTTTAAAAAATAACTGTATAGATGTAGAGCATCATATTTCCCTCGGTTAGCTAGTTTGCAGTTAAAATTTTAAATGCAGTATGATCAGTTTAATTTAATTCAATGTCAATTAACTAATTTCCAATTTTTTTAAAAATATTCTGTTGTAATAGAGGTTGATGTTTTAAATATCAGCATATTTAAAGCTTTGTTTTCATGAACCTCGAACTCTAGGGTATAATCAGGATTAAAGGTTTATGCTTACAATGCACAAAGGAATCCGCTTACAATGCACAAAATGCAGTTTGGCCTCGTAATGGTTTGGCTTTTAATTATCAATACCCAAATCTTTTTAGTTGACGAGATACGACAATTTTTTCAAAAGTGTTCCAAAAACTTGGATATGAAAATTTTTTTTTTTAGCTAAATAAAACAAGTTTTTTTTTCGCTTTTAAGCTATATCGTATATTGCAATGCTTGAAATTTTTTTCGTTTTAATCATTTTGGAATAAGCAACTCAATTCTGGGTTGATGTCAGGGTTTTCGCAGAGGCTGCGAGGATAGCCTCAATTTATAAACATCCAAATCGTTTCAGTTAACGAGATACGACAATTTCTGTAATTTTTTCCAAAAACCTCACAAATATTAAAGTATCCAATTTTTTAGTTGGGTGCTGTCAAGTTTACAAATTTGGCCTGGAAATATTATTGCTCAAATCCTTTTTATTTTCAGAGCTATGATTTTTTTCAAAAATTATCCAGAAAGCTTGATTTATAAAAGTTTTCCTAATCTATCTATTTATAAGAGATTTAATGCCTGCTTCAATATCTTGCTATGCTCAAGCTTTTCTTCGTATTTTTTCCATGTTTAACCGAAGAATTTTTCAGCGTTCTAGCTGTTTCTTTTATTGCAATGCTTGATTTTTTTTAAGTTTTCAAGTTTGAATTCGGTGCATATTTCACCGCTTATGAAGTTAGCAATCTGATAGTAGAATTCTGTCAGGGTTCCCCCGGAGATTTTAAGTCTGGCCTCCAATAATGATTATCCAAATCGTTAGTGAACCAGATACGACTATTTTTGCCTTTTTTAAAAAAAGTGTTGAAAAGAGTTACTTATGAGAAACTTCTTAAATTATAAAATTTACTTTTTTATAGTTGGGTGCTGTCACGGTACTCGCAGTGTTGGATATGTTTTCATTTTATTCTCAGGTAAAGTTCTCCAGTGTTTTCATTTTTTCATGCTTTTTCCAATATAAGAATTGCAGTTATTTTTCCTTTTATTCAGTTTTCTTCCGAAGCAGGGCGTTTTCTTTTATTGTTCCGAAAATTTATTGAGGAATTTATTGTTCAACCTTTGTATTCGGGTGTTTTAGTTTTTTCTTTTTGTTGTCCTCGCAAAACCAGGTATCAAAAATAATCATCAGGCTGGGCTGAGTGATATATCGCATTAAAGCCCTTTCAGTCATGATTCGAACCACATTAAAACGTTCATCAAAATTGTCGAGAAAAACCGTTTTGAAGTTTTTGATTTTTCGTCTCTTTTCGACCGAGTAAAGCTTGATTTATTTGTCTTCAATCATAACAAACTCGCGATGCGTTTGTTATGATTGAAAATTACCAAATTAGGCTAAAACTTGCTAATTTTACAAAAAGAAATTATAGTTCTGGATGCCTTTTATTACGCTTTTCTAGCAAAATAAAATTTTTCGGAAATACTTGCGAAAGTTAAAAAAATTCAAACATTTTTGTTTATTGATTTTTGAAGACTGTTGTAGTCGTTCATGCCTAATTCGCTAAATTTAAACGCATTTGTATAGCTCTATCATCACACGACATACAAGAAAAGACACTAAATTTAAAAATTCTGAGGTTGTCGTCGGAGCATTTTGTTCTACTTACACACAACCGGCGATCCTTGTTTTGAATCGATTGTTGGTTAAAAAAACTTTATCAGTCTGTCTTTTTTTTGTTGAAATGGTACATGATTCCAAAATCAGAAAATAAATTTCAGAAAGACACCCACGTACTTTTTCAGTTTTGAAACAAAAATAATTTTGATTTTCAAAAAACAAAACTTAAAAAATCAGTGTTTATAAAAATAATCTCATTCTATTGGGACGTTGTTTTGTTGAATCACTTAATTTCTTAATCCCTTCTTTTGCTTCGAAAAACGCCAACCTATAGTTCCTCAGTTTGAAAAAAAATTATTTTTGAACTCATTTTTTAAAACCTAGGTTTGATTGATCATCTTCACTTGATTCTGTGATTTTTGAGCGTATTTTTTTTCTGTATTACCTTTAAAGTTGTGAAAGTTAATGACTTTTATTCTATCAGTTTTGGAGAGAAATTAACATAATCTATCTATTATATATTTAAATGCGGGTTTCACTATCTCGCCATGTTTAAGCATTTTCAACGTATCATTTTTGCATGTTTAACGAAAGAATTTTTTCTTGTTTAAGCTATATCGTACATTTCAATGGTTAAGAATTTTTTTCGTTTTTCCAGTTTGATGTCAAGGATTATTTCATCAGTTTTGAAATAAGCAAACTTGATTTTGTAAAATTTCACGAAATTTGATTTTCTCAACTCTGTAGTTGGGTACTGTCAGGGTACTCTCAGGGATTGCGAATCTTGTCTCCAAATCTCACTTCTCAAATCCTTGTAGTTCTCACTTCTCAAATCCTTGTAGGAGATATGACGTTTTTTATTTTTTTTTCTTCTCTATCTTTGAAGATCTCTATCGTGTTGTTGGAAACTCTGAGGTCACCCTCAGGGGTTGCAAATCTTGCCTCTGAATATGACTGCTCAAATCCTTATAGTTTTCGAGATATGATGTTTTGTATGATTTTTTTTCAAAATTTTCAAAAAAAAATTAGATTTAAAAATATTTAAAAAATTAGAAAATCTCTATCGTGTAGATAGAAGTTCTGAGGGTACCCCTTGTAGTTGCAAATCTTGCCTCTGATTATAACTACTCAAATGCGTATAGTTTTCGAGATATGACGTTTTTTGTTTGATTTTCAAAAACTTTGATTTAAAAATATTTAAAAAATTAGAAGATATCTATCGTGTAGTTGGAAACTCTGAGGGTAGCCTCAGGGGTTGCGAATCTTGACCCAGAATATGACTGCTAAAATCTTAATAATTTTTGAGAGATATGACGTTTTTTGTGATTTTTCAAACAATTTTCAAGAAAACTTAATTTTCTTTTTTTTTTTTTTCAAATTTTGAAATGCCCATTTTTGTAGTTGGGGCTGTCAAAGTACTCGCAGGATCTCGAGGTTTGCAAATCTTGCCTCCAAATATGACTGCTGAAATTTTTTGTGTTTTTGAGATATGACATTTTTAATGATTTTTTTTTTTCAAAAAGTTTGAAGTTTCTCAAATTTTGAAATTCCCAATGCTGTAGTTGGTTAGAGTACTCTCAGGAGTTGCAAATTTTGAATTCCATTGTGACTGCGCATTTGCTTTAAGTTTCCGAGATAGGGCGTTTCTTAATGTTATTTTAAAATGTTTCAGTGAACTTCACAGAGTTTTATGGTTTTTCAAAGTTAGGAAAAAAAGAGTAAATTTTTTTACAAAATTTGAAATTGCCATTCCTGTATTTAGGTGCTGTCAGAGTTCACTCAAAAGATGCTGATATTTTTTCCAATATCTGCGGTTTTTAATAATTTGTTAAAAATTCGAAGCACCGGAGGTGCGTTACATGCTAGTATTTTTTAAGCAGAAATTAATTTAAAAAATATTGTTCAAATCAAATCCTGATTGATTGTCATTTCTTATCATCTCTATCGTTGAATCGGCCTTTCGGCCTTATCTCTAGTTCATCATTTTTACATAGTGAAATCTCGCCCGGTTTTTTCTCCGTTTTGGAAAAAATTGATGGTTTTTCAGAAAAGAAAACTTGAACGATTTTCGAAGCGTCCTAATCTCATATTGCTCTGTAGTGATGGGTACACTTAGTGTCTCAGTCATTTTTTGAAAGAAAGTTTTTTTCAGCCTTTCATGCTCCGAAAGGTGATTATTTTGGATATTTGAAGATTAAATAAATTATTCGAAAAATAAATTAGGGTCTTTTATTGAACGTTTTGTGCATTGTTTTTTTTTAGTTTCGTTTGACAAGTTTTATAAGCTGTCATCGGTGTTTTGCGGTCTGCTTAGGGTTTCACCTGAAATTTTTGTTAGAGCTCCTTTTGATCGTACAGCAGTTTCGGATGAAATTTGTATTAAAGAAAAAAAAACTCATATTCACTAATGAAATTTGTATTAGAGGTTTTTCCTGCTTATAATTCAACGATAAGTCTATCTATCTTCTATCTATCTATCTATCTATCTATCTATCAATTTTTTAATTGGCGTTTCATGTCACACATGTTTAAGAAGTTCCTATCTTGACATGTTTAAGAGGTTTTAGCTATATCGTATATTGAAACGCTTAAGAAGCAAATTTCATTTGGCACATATTTAAGAAGTCGCTATGCTGGTCAAAACCTTGCTAGGGTTGAAAAGGTTACTCAAGTCAGCGTTTCAAAATCTGTTATAGCCCGAACATATTTTTCATTTATTCGCAACGTAAAACTATCAAATTTTTGTTTCACTATTTACTTAGTTATTTTTGAATTTCTCAACCCTATAGTGGGGCGCTATAAGGGACAATTAGGGGTTGCAAATCTGGTGTCTAAGAATGACTGCTCAAATCCTTTCGTTTTTCGAGATATGGCATTTTTTTATGATTTTTTTCTTTTTTTTTTCAAAAAAACGTTGATATAAAAGCAAACTAACCGAACTTGAGTTTTTCAATCCTATAGTAGGGTGCTGTCAGGTTACATTCAGGGGTTGCAAATCTGGCGTCCAGATTTGACTGCTCAAATCTTTTGGTTTTCGAGATATGGCGTTTTTTATGATTTTTTCATTTTTTTTCTAAAAAACGTAGATATAAAAGCAAATTAACTGAGCTTGAATTTCTTAACCCTATAGTGGGGTGCGGTTAAGTTTCATTCAGGGATTGCAGATCTGGCGTCCAAGTATGACTGCTCAAATCCTTTTGGTTTCCGAGAAATTGCGTTTTTTATGATTTTTTTCATTTTTTTTTCAAAAAATTTTTTAGACAAAAACAAACTAACTGAACTTGAATTCCTCAACTCTATAGTGGGATGTGGTTAACTTAAATTCAGGGGTTGCAAATCTGGTGTCTAAGTATGACTGCTCAAATCCTTTCGGTTTTCGAGATATGGCATTTTTTATGATTTTTTTCTTTTTTTTTTTCAAAAAAACGTTGATATAAAAGCAAACTAACCGAACTTGAGTTTTTCAATCCTATAGTAGGGTGCTGTCAGGTTACATTCAGGGTTTGCAAATCCGGCGTCCAGATTTGACTGCTCAAATCTTTTGGTTTTCGAGATATGGCGTTTTTTATGATTTTTTCATTTTTTTTCTAAAAAACGTAGATATAAAAGCAAATTAACTGAGCTTGAATTTCTTAACCCTATAGTGGGGTGCGGTTAAGTTTCATTCAGGGATTGCAGTTCTGGCGTCCAAGTATGACTGCTCAAATCCTTTTGGTTTCCGAGAAATTGCGTTTTTTATGATTTTTTTCATTTTTTTTTCAAAAAAATTTTTAGACAAAAACAAACTAACTGAACTTGAATTCCTCAACTCTATAGTGGGATGTGGTTAACTTAAATTCAGGGGTTGCAAATCTGGCGTCCAAGTATGATTGCTCAAATCCTTTTAGTTTTCGAGAAATTGCGTTTTTTTTTTTCTTTTTCTTTTTCAAAAAAACAGATATATAAATCCTAACCGAACTTGATTTTCTCAATGCTACAGTGGGTTGCTGTCAGCGTACATTCAGGGTTTGCAAATCTGTCGTACAAGTTTGACTGCTCAAATCCTTCTATTTTTCGAGATATGGCGTTTTTTTATGATTTTTTTCAAAAAAATTTAGATAAAAAAACTAACCGAACTTGAGTTTCTCAACCCTATAGTGGGTTGCTGTCAGAGTACATTCAAGATGTGCAAATCTCGCGTCTAAATTTGACTGCTCAAATCCTTTTGATTTTCGAGATATGGCGTTTTTTAAGATTTTTTTCATTTTTTTTTTTTCAAATAAATTGTAGATATAAAAGCAAACTAACCGAACTTGATTTTCTTTACCCTATAGTGGGGTGCGGTTAAGTTGCATTCAGCGGTTGCAATTCTGGCGTCCAAGTATGACTGCTGAAATCCTTTGGAGAGTTTTGGAGAAATAACGTTTTTTTATGATTTTTTTCATTTTTTTTTTAAATTTAAGTATAAAAACCTAACCGAACTTAAAATTCTTAACCCTATGGTGGGGTTCTATCAGGGTACTTTCAAGGGTTGCAAATCTGGCCTCCGCGTATGAGTGCTCAAATAATTTTGTTTTCGAGTATGGTGTTTGTTATGTTTTCTTGACTTCATTGTTTTTCAAAAAATTAACCGGACTTGAAGTTCTTAACCCTATGTTGAGGTTGAGTCAGGGTACACTCAGGGGTTGCAGTTCTTCTCTCCAATAGTGACTGCTCAAATCCTTTTGGTTTCCGAGATGTGACGTTTCAGTTTCGGTGTTGCAAATCTGCCCTGTAAAATTGACTGCTCAAATGCTTTTCCGAGATGTGGTTTTTTATGAAGTAGAAACGCCTGATACATGAGCCCAGTTCATCTTCACGGTTGCATTAAAAATTTTATTACATGTTTTAGAGAGCTAATTTAACGTGCAACGATCTATTTGAAGCACCGTAGGTGCGAGCCATGCGCTAGTTTAATTTAATCATTATAACAAAATCTTCGCATCTTGTGGCCAAAACAGATCTCTAATGAAGTTATGTAACAAAAAAGGAAATTTTGTAACAACCATTTTTTTCACTGAAAATCGCTCGAACAATCCATCACAAGAATTTGATGATTTTTTTTCGTTTTCTTTCCAGGAAAAGTCTTAAAATTTGTTCATGCTCAAATTTACTTTGGTTTGACTTTTCGTTTATTTTTAAGTTCATTTTTTTACTTTGTTCAAAGGAAGGCTAACTCTGCTATGGAATTGCAAAAGTGTGAAGGTCACGAAAAATGTGATCGACTTCTAATTTCGAAAGTGGAATTTAATTTTCAGATTTCCCAGCGAAATAGAGTTTTTTTTACCGATTGATCCAGTGTTCTCATATTGAGTTATTTTATCAAAAAATTGTTCCAGAAATTCAATGAGCTTTGAGGCTATCTATTTTTTTTCGAAAGTAGAGATTCTTTCGAAAAAAAATATTTAATTTTCTTATTTTTTTGGCGCTCATTGACTTTTTTTAACTATCTGTTGGCTAAGTTGGTTTTCTCGAAGTAAATAACCCGAAGTGAAGGCAAGCAGCCATGGCATCTTTAAAATCACTATGTGACAAGCTTGGCTTATGTGCTCGCTTTAGTATCACATATGGGCTTTGCTCGCAGATTCATTGAATTCTGGGACTAATAACTGCGGCAATGCCGAAGTTTTGCAGAGTAATAATGAGAATTCTGTGGAATGGGGATAGGATACCGAGTGGATAGAGCACACTTTCTATTGGAGAAAGCACTGAAGGATCATTGTAAGTGCAGGATTAGCCTTACAATGATCCATCGCTGTAACCCCATGCGCTGTAGCAACAGTTGTTTTCACCACTACAAAGGTAGTAGATAACGTCGCATGAGCTTGATATGAACTTGGTTAGGTTGGAGCCTCCCTGTTTCAGTTTTGACTGTTTAGTTTTGTTGTCTTGCTCTAAAGAATGAACGATATCTCAATTTCACCACCCTAGTTTGATTCAATTGTAATCAAGAATCAATTTTACAATTATTTTTTCAATTATGATTTCATTTAAACTTAATGAGTTAAAAATATCTAGCTTTTCCGAAGGGTCATTTGATAAGGGTATTTGATTTAGTTCAGGGTCATCCTCAATCTTCACAATATTCATTGGATTTTTTTATTCGGTTGCATTCAGACTTTTTAACTGTTGGCTATGCTATGATAAATCACTCAAAACCCTACGCTGGGTGGGGTTGTAAAACAAATGAGTAAAACACAGTTTACAACAGAGAATTGAAAACATATTTGAAACAAAATGAGAAGCAAAACGAAATTCTTCTTTTTTTTGTGATGCGCTAGCACTTTTGTTGTCGCGACTTCCATTTAGCCTTGTCCTTGCGAAAGCAACTGGATGTGAAAAAAAATTGGAAAAATCTTATTTCTGTATAAAAATTTTAATCGTTGAGTTGTTTGTTTCACGACAGTCATTACACTAGTGGTCAGCGTAGTGTACTAGTACGAACCTTCTTTTTCTTCTAAGCTAACTCGCAAATAAAAGTGTTCATTGAAAGTGGAAAGTGTTCACTTATTCTGGCACTTTTGCTATAATCACGATCTAGCATTGGAAATTTCAAAGCATATGTTCTCTGCTTTTTTTGTGGCTAGTGTATGGAACGTATTAGGCATGTGTGGCTGAGTGGTTAATGCGTGAGACTTATAATCTTAAGGGCGTAGATCGAAACCGAGACCTGGCCGAATTTTTACCAATTCGAGGCTTATTGTTTATTTTCTTATTTCATATTATTGAGCTGCTTTTTGTCATGTTCTCGCTAGTTTTGTGAAGCGAAGCTTCGCAGCTGTGTTTTTCATGTTTTGCTTTGTAGTAATTTTGAAAAAAGTTGGATAATTGGATAAAAATATTTTAAGCCCCCACCCTGACCTTACGGCTTACTACAGTTTGCTTTGCAGAAAAGGCCGAGAATAAAGCTTCTGTCCACATTTGGTTGTCCCAGTTTTGGCTTTCATCGAGCAAAAACTCTAGATCAGATTTTTGTGAGTGCCAAAGCTTTTGATTTGATTCTACTATTCATATGTTGTGAAAGGTGAAGTTGAATTTTTTTTTCTTTTCCCCAGAGAACTTGTCTAAAATAGAAATTAATTGACAAAACACCCAAATCACCCGTATTTGGAAGCTAAATCATGACAGAAGGATTTTAATATGATACCATGCTCGCTCCCCTCAAAGTTGATTTGATTATGTTGCGTTTGTCTGATGATTTCGTTTTCAGGCGTAATCATTAGAGAAAAGAAATAACTTTTTAACATCAATTAGGGCGATTTGAGGGCAAAATCAGTGAAGGGAAGCAACTTTTTAGTTTCAACTAGCGTCACACCATAGTTCTTTTCCACTCTGTCAATCGTACGAGCAAGCAACCTTTATAAATAATCGTAATTAGATTTTTGGTTTTCTATTTTCTCCGTCGTTTGAGAGTGGTCGGAAAAATCGTCATAAATAAAATCAGGGGTGGATATCTAGGGTTTTAAAAATTTCAAAAAATTTGTCTACCTTTTTTTAGAGCTCTCCCAAAGCACTACAAAGACTGTTTTGGCTAAAATGGATATCGCCTCCCCTGAATAAAATGTTCAAGTTTTCAAGTAAAGGACGAGTATAATAGTGTATAAATAGATTTGAAGTTTTAGATCGAAATGGAAGTTTTCGGAGAGCACTACAAGAACTTGACTGCTAAAATGAAGCATGAAAACTGGACTGAACACATTCCATATTACAAAGACGTATCAGCGACACTTCGTAAGCACGATTTGTCTAAAAATATCGTGAACAACTTAGACGAAGAAACTCTGTTGCTGGTTCTTGCGAGCACAGCTGTTGCGATGCTGGTCTGTGTATTTTTCTTTTTGTTATGCTGGCTGTGTGGAAAAACTGGAAAAAAATTGAACCATGTGATGCTTCTTGGTCCCGAAGATTCAGGGAAAACAAGATTGTTTTTGTGTCTGACCAATAACTCGAATCATCAGCTGACATGTACGTCGTTAACTGAAAATTGTGCCAACGTTAAATTAGGCAAAAAAGATGTAACATTGGTTGACGTTCCTGGAAATGGTAGAATCATGTGGCCGATTTTTGACAAGTTCAAGGGGTCTTGTGGACGTATCTTATTCCTAGTGGATAGCTGTGCTGTTTTCAAGAATCAGAGAGCCCAAACTGGCGAGTATTTGTTCAGCATTCTAACTGACCCGTTCATTGCTAAGCTGAAACCCATCATCAATATTGTATGCACAAAACAAGATGCACCGATGGCGAAAAGCACAACCCTAGTTAAACAAGTCTTGGAAGCCGAGTTGACGACTCTGAAGAAGACATCACGAGCTACGTTAGGGGATATTGCCGATTCACGCGATTCCTCGGGACGCAGTAAGCGAGCGGCAGTTTTGGCGGAGGGAAAACATGGCAACGTAGATTTATCTCTCATGCCGTACAAAGTGCAGTTTGTAGAAAGTTCAATTAGCAAATCTGATCCAAATTCGCTAGATTTTGACATGAGTTTGTTTAAGTGAATAGTTTTGGTGATTTGATGGTTGGATGTGGTAACAACGCTTAATTATTATGCGCAGATGTAGTGTTAAAACTTTATATGAGAATGTTGTTGAAATTTATGTCCCTAAGCTATAAAAGTGTTCGCCGTTTTTAGCATTTTGGAAAGGAAATTTACTTTTCCTTGCTTCAGTTGTTGCCATTGTTTTAATAAACTAACTCATGTACCTTAATCTTCTTTTTCAGATAACTTTGATGTCTGGTAATATAGGAATGAGTCTGGACTTCTCAGAGGTCCATTCGCAGGAAAACCAGCAAGGTATGTGGCTGCTAATAAACTACAAAGAGTCTTAATATTTCCCTAAGGTCTATGAAATACTTTGATCTCAAAGTCACATAGATACGGCAGCGAAACTTTATGAACAATTATCGGCTTCGGTCAGCTGTTCGATATTTAGCTGATCGAGGTGAACAAATCAAATCTAATCATGTACGGTTACTTTGAATTTGAACAAATCAAAATACTGAGTTTTGACGTTATTACTACTCGGTTTGTCCTTATTTGATCCGTAGACGTAAATTATGAAGTTATCACTCTTTAAGTGACCGTTGGTTCTAATTCTTATCTCAGTTGCATGCCAAGATTGATAAGCAAGTTGTCTGTTCTCACAAATCTCAATAAAAGAGCGCTGCTTGCTAGGGCAAAAGAAAAACTTGATACGAAAATAATCGCTTTGATTGTGGAGTCAAATACTAGAACACGTGCTGAGTATTTTGTTTAAATCTCAAATCACACAACATTGAAATGCTGCTGTTCATGGTGGGGTGGAAACTGTTAATCCAAAAAAGGAATAACATCCCCTCTGGCAGGCAAGAAAATTATATTTATAAACTATCACTTTTTAAATTTTAAATTATAACAAGACTGCTCGTATCAGGGCGAAGCCCTGAATGTTCCGACTGCCTTTTAAGGTTTATGGAGCAGCATTAATAACATTAAAAAAATAAATGAAATAAAATAAAATAAAATTTTTTTTTCTAAAATTTGAATTTTTTTTTTGAAAATCATCCCCCCACACCATATAAAGTATAAAAAGATAGATTTTGTTCCTTGTAACAAATCAATTATGGCAAATAAGCTTCGTTCAACCAATTTGGAACGATTTATAAGACGGATTAAATCTCCGCTTACGCGTTAATAGCGCGAATTATATCGCGCGTTAATTGTCCCAAATTGGTCAAAATGGCAATCTTTAAACCCTCATAACTTTACGAAAAATGATCACAGGTGAAATATCTTTTCAAATTTAAGCTCAGGACAACAATACTTTTTGAATGATATGAAAAAATTCCGTCAAAAATGGCTAGTTAAAAAGTCGAAATTTGTCTGAAGAAAAAAAAACCCACCCCGAGCACAAATATTCCGTTACTTTCGTATCGAAAGTCGGAACAATAAGTTAAGCCCATAAAAAACCTTTCATAGTTCAGAAAATATGAAGAATTTAAGCGTTTTTGTCATTAAGACTACCAGAAAATTTGAGTCCATGATTTTGGTGTTGAATCCATGCTTCACTCAAACTTTTGGTTTATTATCGGGAAAAATATGATTGGGAATTGGTGGAATACGCTGCTAATTTCAATTATCCGAAAAAAGCGATTGATTAAAATGATGAGTTTTAAATCCGATTTTCTCAAATTGAGTTTAAAACGAAGGACCAATTTAACATCCTCCCCCCTAAACACGTTTAGGGGGAGGATATTAACTTAGTTCTAAGTTGGGAATTTTCAGCCAATCGGAAACGAGCATTTTACATGCAGCGCTTAGCAAATTTAATTTAATTTAAGCGCTGGGGTGGAGGATCTTAACTTGGTCTATTAGGGGGGTAGGATGTTAACTTGATCCAAAACAAAAAGTGATAGTGACAGAAGTGATTTTGACTTGTTTTGCATAATTCGCTCTTATAATATCTTAAATGAATCTCTTTTGTACTCGATTTGTTAGATTATAGAAGATGCGAATAAAAGGAAAATTGAAACGGCAGCGAAACTACTTTCTAGTCGTACAAAGTTTTGTACGAATACGAGCGTCATACTGGCGAAAGCAAATTGGGTGAAGGCGAATAGACTGGTCTAATCCAGACAGTGAACTTCACAGGCAATTATTGGAGACAGTATAGCATCAGCAAGACCCCAATTTTAACAAAATTATTAGCCGAATTTCTAATCACTATATCAGCAGTTGGGGTTGAGAAGCAAATTAGACGGAGGTACTTAAAAGGAAATTGGACGGTTTTGCAAAACTGTAATTGTGAGAAAATAGACAAAAGTGAGAGATATTAAAATTGTTTTCAGACAAATTGCGTGAGAAAAATAAAAATGTTTGCAGACAACAGTTAAATTTCGGTGGTTAAAAACTTTACATGTCAATCATGCATAATTTATTCAATTCAAAACTCTCCTGTAATATTCAGATTTGACATTTTATGGTCATTTAAACTAATTGGTTTGATAGGTGTTGTCATTTTCTGTTCTTTTTGTATTTGTGTAACTTAACTCTTGAGAAAAGATTTTGTTGGCCCTTTCCTTTTCATAGCAATGACGTCTAAAATCCCAGATCTGTAGAAAAAAAAATCTCGTCTAGTTTCCTTTTTGTAGCATCCGTCTAACTTGCTTATCGTCTAATTTCTTAGGTCCCCAGCAGTTAGTTGTTAATAGTCGATCTGATGCGTGTAAGATGTTTTTAGCTAAAAATGTTTCTGGATTTTCAGCTTCTTTGAGGTCGGCTTTCATTCTGTCAGCTTATTTGCCCTATTTTTAAAATCAATATTTGGTTAAACTTCTCGAACAGGGTGACCACTGGGTCGTTAATCAGCAACAGGTCGTCAAAAGACCGCTACTTCTCGACAGGTCGCTAAAAGGTCGCTACTTCTGTGGAAGTTGTGTACTACTTGTTTGCTTAATTACTAGTTTATACATTATCAAATTTTTTCAGATGCCATGGGCAAAACAAAACTGACCCAGGAAATTTTGAGCCAGTTTCCATTTCTGAGGCGCTAAATTGAGCTTACGTAAGGTCGGTAAAACGATGCTAATAGTAATTTTCTATGAAGTCGTTAATTTTTTTTTCATAAGAGTGGTCACCCTTCGGATAACCTATTCTTCTAAATTTGTTTAAGTTCTGTTATAAAAAAGTTAGCTTCTGAATTAATTTGTTTTCAGTTGATTTTTACTCGGCTCAACTGGGCGTGTACCCAAATTTGGTCCGAGTAGTTAGCACTCTAAAATATTTGTCGCATTGCTTGGCGTTTTGCGTCATTATTTTACCGAATTGAGCTTTACTTGAATTGCGGCAAACTTATGATCATTATAGGTGATGTTTTTTCTGCATTTCTTCCTTTTTCCTTAATGGCTTTCGGCTAACTGCCATTCTGTGTCCGTTTTGTATCGCTAGTAGTACGAAGCGCAACTTCGCCTCTTTGTAGGATTTCAATTTGCAGCCACGCGTTTTAACGGCACCTTTCGTTTTATGAAGATAGTATCCATCGAGAAGATGAAGATAGTGCGCAGAAATTCCACATAGAAGGAACTCCGGAAGATATGCCTGGGGAGCTTCACATAGAGGGAACTCAGGAGGTGATGTCTGAAGAGTTTCACATAGAAGGAACCCAGGAAGCGATGCCTGAAGAATTTCACATAGAAGGAACCCAGGAAGCGATGCCTGAAAAGTTTCACATAGAAGGAACCCAGGAAGCGATGCCTGAAAAGTTTCACATAGAAGGAACCCAAGAAGCGATGCCTGAAGAGTTTCACATAGAAGGAACCGAACGAGCGGTACTTGAAGAAGATGTGAATACCTTCTCCGTGGAGGCGCAACCGGATACTGAGATGGTCAACTTCGCACAGGTTAGAATTTTTTTTAAAAACTTAAATTAAAAGGAAGTACATGAAACTGGCTAGTCAATGAATTATTTTTTAGTTTTGGTGATTTTTTGCCCAAAAATTTGGGACGTTTTGCATAAGCTGATATGCTCAGTTTCACCTATATTTTTGAATTTTATTCAATTTTCATGTAAAGGCATTGAATAAATACTGCAATATGTTTGTTCGTTTTTTGATCTGTCCTTTCTTTTGAATATTTTTGGTTATCTTATCAAAGGATAATCATTTATGGGCGTTTGCTTTCTGCTTGCCTTAGGCTGGTGAAAGGATGAAAGATTTAAAAATTTTTGATAGAACTATTCACTGTATTTTAGAACAATGACTGAAGGTTTTGCGTCTCATTAAGTAGATGCAGTTTAACAATTTCTAGTCTTTTCAGAATACAAAGAGGACCTCGCTGTGCCATTTTGTGACATTCCAAATGGAGAAATTTTCTGTCTTTTGGCGACTGAGCCTCTTGAGGCCATTTCATTTTTTTTGCAATAACTGAACAAATGTTATTTTCAGCCGTCCTCCAAATGGAGAGGTGAAAAGGTTTCTCGAGTGCTCAGGCGGAATAAATTAAACCTTTCCACTCATATTACTAAATTCATTCCAAGCTAATGCGCGCGAACGAAAAAATGATTTCTCCTGATTTTCATGCAGACTGTTTTTAGTTCAACCCGGAGACATGGCTTCAATCAAAGCCCATTCAAAGAGGAATAAACCCAAAAATATCTTCAATTTCCCTTCTCTGCGTAACTTCCTTGATTTTTTGCTGCCTTGCAGCCCTTACGGTTTACCAAAAGTTGGGTCTAAAACGGAATTGGTAACTGTAGAAGGAAAGAAATTGATTAAAGTGTGTTTGCGTCCAAGTATGAAATTTGTGTCGTATGAAATAATAGACATAATACAAATCGTGCTGGTGTTACAGCAACCTATTTTTACTTAATTGGAAGTCCTTTTTAGCTGGAAAATAGAACTATAGAAAAATGGGTAATATGAGCTAATTAAGAATTGTCCCGTGGTTTCCTGTTCCCATTTTAAGTCTTCGCGGGTTTCATGTCAAGCTTGTGAAATGACTTTTATGGAGTGCGGGGCATGAAATTGGAATATTAATGGGGCATTATAATGGTAAATATCTAAAAACAAACCGGGGAACGCAACAGGGATTCATGCACACTTAAAAGCCCTTGCGTGGATTACGAGGCATTGGCGGAAAATTACCTTCCTCAAATTTTCTACAATCGGCGTGAAATCTGAAAATATTTATAAACTCACTGAGGTTAGAGTTGATTGAAATTTGTGTTTAGTTTTTTCCAGTTTTCATGTTTTTAACTTTCACACCATGAAATTGACGAGAGATTGATTTCCTGTGGTTTCTTTTTTGAAAGGAAGTTAATGGACTGAGTTAATTTTGTAATTTTGTCGTTCTGTCTAAACGGGACAGTTTTTATTGGTTAATATATATTTCCCATTTTCTCGTCTTGGAAACGGCTTTTCTATTTTATAACCAGAAACTGTTTTATAGATGGGAACGTTCAATCCTTAGAGGCTGCACAGTTTTTGACTGATCTTCTGCGATTCGCAGAAACCAAAATTATTATAACTAATCGGTGACAACAAACCAATTTTTTTGCTTTAATATTTTTTCTCTTTTGCAGGACACAGAGGTTGACTTTGAAAGCTCAGCTGTATTTGAAAATACTGAAGCTAATGACGAACAAGATTTCGTGGATACCGCTAGTAGTAATAACTCTGCTACTAGTAATGACCACACTGCAGAAACTGAAACTACTGAATCTAGCAGTAATACCAGGAAGCCCCCCTTTGCGCCCGTTGTTTCAGCCTCTCAAAAACCCGCCGCATCTGCTAATTCAAAACGCCCTTTTACGCCCTTGAAAAGGATGGACCAATTGAAACCAACGGGGGAGCCTGCTCCCGCTGCTGTAGGTACTACGGCGGCGGCCAAAAGAGCAAATGTGCCTCCCCCTTTCGCGAAAAGAGGCGCTACTACAAGTGCCAGTGGTCCGCTGTCACAGACAGGCGCTGTTGCACAGCAACATCAACCACCGCCTTTTGCAAAACCGCAATCACAAAAAAGGCTAGGAGAACAACTAAAATCTGGCTGTGAAGTTTTTTTTGCATATTTCCCAAAATTTTTGCCGACCGAATCAAAAACAGCGAACATCTTTCTTTAATTCGAAATATGAAAATAGAAGTTAGAAACTCGTTAAAATTTAAATAAAAGGCAATGGTAACTGTAGTCATTGCACCTTTTTTGTTGCTTGGCAAATCGTTACTTGTGTTTATATTGTCTTTTTGGGATAAATATTTCAAGCAGTGTCTTCGTAAATGAATATGAGCTGTATTTCTCAGAAGCTAAATTTTGCAGACATTGTTTTTATTTTAGATTGATCGAATTGATTTTCTGCACAATAAAGTCTTTGGTTTGTCAAAATTTTGTGCGTCGGAAAAATGCGAGATAAACAGAATGCACGGAAAAAAAGCAAGCGCGCGCTTGTCCCTGATCATTAGTACTACAAGCGTCGAAGGCGTCTTTAGAAAAATTTAAGGCGTCTTTAGTCGATCAGCCAAGAATGATGGTCGCAAAATATTAATAACCGTTGGACCCTTTGCGTCCCACGAAGCCCCCTTCAATCCGCTTCTGTAATGAACGCCTATCAATCTAAATGAAATCAAAATTACAATAATCCGTTAACAATGCTTCACAGCCAGTCAAAACCTTACGGTAATATTAAAAGATATATATATTTTTTCAAACTTCTACATTCAAATATAAACAACATGGTTAAATTATCCGATTCTAAAAAAATGTGATTTTTTTTTGCTTTTCGAGCTTGGATGTTGTGTTGATTTTGTATCCCAGGCGTATTGCCCACGTTTTAGTTATTTTTCTAATCAAAAATATTGCAAATTCACGATAATTTTCAAAGAAAGTGGAAACTTTTAAGTTGGTTGTTTATTTCATGGGACGATTTTGAAGTTAAGATACTCTTCACCGGGGGCGGATCTTACGATCCCATGGAATGGTCGAATGCAGCGGAAGTGTTTGCGAATCTCTTCATTTACTTTTTTTCAAGATCGATAAAAATGATTTTTGGCCGCTCTTCAAACACTTAAAAAAATTGATTCAGGGACTTAGAACTCATAGGTGAAATTTTGTGAAAACTAGCCAAGCGATTCGCATTTTTTCTGTGCCTCAAGAGAAATTTAGGTTACACCCTCTCCTCAATCCGCCCCTGTTCGTGAGGAAAAATATCTATTGTGCAAATATTGATAATAATTATTTCAGGGATCCGGTGAAACCAGACTCCAACAAACCTCAGCCGACTAGAACGCTCAAATGTCAGATGTGTAATGTGTTCTCAAACAACGAATATCAGATGAATCTGCACTTAAACGGCAGACCACATCGAGAACGTCTCGAAAAAGAAAAGACAAAATCCTTGTCGCAAGCGAAGAAACCGCAACGTAAAAGGGGTGGGTACGCAATGGATCCCGATGCGAGAAACAAAAGGTTGTTTGATCAGAGTGAACACGGCAAAGTTTTCCAAGATGACGCTGCTAACCCGAATAAAATGCCGGTTGGGAATCAAGGTTTGGGTGCTAGACTTTTTGGCGGAAGACCGGGGTCGATGCCACCACCGGATAGAAATTTAACTCCGGGCAGAGGAAGAGGCGCTCAATTTCCACGACAAGAGGTTCCTGGATTTGGAAGAGGACGACAAGTTCCCCATGAGATGCATGGAAACGCGAAAATACCTCCTTTCAGAGCACCGAATCCGGGCCAAGATCATTTTGGAACTAGACCTACGTTTGGTCAACAAAGAGGAGTAGAACCCGGTTTCGACGGAATGAACTCGATGCCGGATCAGTACAACTTCTCAAATGATATTAACACCTACAATCAGGGAAATCAACAACAGAGGCAGACTGGACCACCTGGATTTGGTAACCCGAGAGAGTTGGAGCGTGAACCATATCCCGTAGATTACGGTTACGAGAGACCACCTACTGGATATGCAGCGGAAATGGGAAGGGCAACAGCTCACAAGACTGATAGAGATCAAGTACTTGGGGTTAGCTTTGTTTGCGTTTAAAACAGTTTCGGCAGTTTTGCTCAAATCTCTCCTAAATAGTGAGATGGGATTACACAGATTACATTAATTATCTCATTAACAGCATTAATATTGGCTAGTTGACCTTTGAAAAAATTGGCCTATGTATGATCTTTCCTACGGAGTCTTATTTTCCTCTGCGACCTAATGGCAAACGTCAATCTAAAATCTCTACCTTGATTTATAGTTAGTGTACTATTTAGAAACCACCGGCGCCAATTAAACTGCACCCAGAGGCTCCGTACAGTGACTTAAATGGTTTCTACCCAGCTGAGGAAACATGGCTGCCAGAAGGTGGATTCTTAGTCCGAAGACGGCATCCTGCTACTGCACCCAATTTTGGCGCTCCTCTGCCTCTCGCACCTCGACCACTTCCATTTGCTGAACCGCCTATGAGGCCGTCACAGGTTGAAGTTTATGAAAATGTGAGACCACACCCCCAAACGGCTGCACCTTTCAGACGAACCGAGCCTTTGATGCAGAGACCACCGGTTGGACGGCCGGAAGAATATGTGTTTTCAGAACCGCCGCGACCTGCTGTTGTAATGCATGAACAAAGACCAGCTGCTGGAAGGAGGCCATTTAGACCAGCAGTTCCTGTGGCAAGAAAGGAGTTTCCTCCACCTCCGCCAATGGGGGTCCGGCAGCAAGTTGTGGTGATTAGACGAACAGTGCCTGTAATGGCTGCGAGAGATCCTCTTGAGCGAGATCCATACGCAAGGCCTCCTCCTGAAGTTAACACTGCATTTGGATACCCCAGATTTTAACATGCAAGACTCTTGGCGTTTTAAAATCCAAACTGAAATTGATATGTTGTTATTTTTTGCTTAATTATCGTTCGATGTTTGTATCACAGTCGTCTCCGAATTAAAAGATCATACTTTGTCATTATTTAGTGAAGGAATAGATTCAGGCAACGACATGGTTACGGTGTCTATTTTAAAATCTTTTGAGTGCATTGTTTACTTGACGAGCCTACTTGCCAAGTGCATCGTATACATGTTGCAAAAGATTCAGGCAACGACATGTTTACGCTTGCGATACTGGAATATAGACTTTTTTCTAGTTAACAACTAGTTTAACAGAATCAATTGAATCATTTGGTAACTTGCTTTATTAATGAAGGTAATTTTCATGAAAATGTGGGTCCAGTAGTGTGGTGGTAGTTGCTCATTGTGTTTTTAAGGGACTTGAAAAATTTTTAACAAAATCATTTTTTTTCGGGTTAACTGGTGTGTGATCAAAAATTGTCGCCTTTTTTTACGCTTTGTCAGTTTTGTTCCGTTGCTAATTTAAAATTGAAATGTTTTACTCGCCATATTTGCCTAGATTGAAATTTTATCGAGCCGTACGAAAGTTCAGTATACCTAGTTTTTTTTCAACATTTTTCGCTTTTGTACTTCTATTGTTTTTTTTATGTTTGTTGTTTTGTAAGTGATGCGAAGCTCCGCTTCGCCTCTGTTAAAAATCTTTTGAGTGCATTGGATAGTTGCCGAGCCGAGGAAATGAATGTAAGAATAAAATGAGCATCGGTTCAACAGTATGAATTTTAGACTGGTGCGCGTAGTGTATTAGTTTGACTACTTTTTTTCCAACTTAGACTACTTTTTCTAACGCGCTAGTGAAAGTGCTCATTTGGTGGCACTTTTGCTATAAGCACGTTCTGTAGCACTTGAAATTTCATATCATCCGTTCTGCTTTATTTGAGGCTAGTGTTTGTGATTAATTGGGCGTCCGTGGCTGAGTTATTAGTGCGTTAGTTTCATATTTTCTAGGTCGCAGATCGAATCTGAGACCTAACTGATTTTTACAAATCGAGGTTTATTCTTTTTGTTTTAAGAACTGATTTTTTCGCGTTCTTGCTAGTGTTTACGCAGCGTAATTTCGCCTTTGTGCTAAAAGATAGCATTCTTAAATTTTAATCAATAAAGATAGTTTCGACAATTATTTTATAGGTCTTTGGTAATTTAATTTTTTTTCCAAGAAGTTTTTTGATAGACTTTTATCGAATTTTGACATCAATTGATATCTATGGCCATAAGGTTTCTGAAGTTAGCGATTGCTGGTAATGAACCTAGCGAGTACTCTTACATGGGTCTTGCTGATATTTTTTAATGAGAATGCTTAAATTTTTAGGACGCTTAGTTTTGATTTTTTGCGGTTTGACTTTTAATTTCGATTCAAATTCAGTTCACTTCCTTTGTTAAAAGGAAGGCAAAATCTTATCGAACAATTGAAGTGTAGAGGTCACGAAAAAAGTGATCGACTTCTAATTTCCATTCTAGTTTTCAGTATTGGCAGCTGAACGAAAATTTTACTTAATAAACCAGATTTCTCAAATTGAGTAAAGAATTCAAATTTCAATGCCTTCCCGGCCAACTTGACCTGGAGGTCACGAAAATATCTGGGACGGCGAAGGAAGGGTCGAATTTGACCAGGACGAGTTTATTTTTCAAATCGAGGTGCACTCTTATTTTTTTTTGTTTTCAGAGCTGATTTTGTGTTCTTGCTAGTGTTTGCAAAGCGTAATTTCGCCTTTTGTTATAAGATAGCATTCTTAAGTGTTAATGAATGAAGATAATTTCGACAATTATTTGTATAGGTCTTGGGTAATTCAATTTATTCCAAGAAGTTTTTTGATAGACTTCCAGCGAATTTTGACATCAATTGCTATCTATGATCATAAAGTTTCTAAAGTTAGTGCTTACTAGTATTGCACGTAGCGAGTACTCTTACATAGGTCTTGCTGATATATTTTTTTAGGAAAAAGCTTAAAATTTAAAGACAATAATTTTTGATTTTTCGCGCTTTGACTTTTAATTTCAGTTCAAATTCAGTTCACTTCCTTTCTTAAAATAAAGTGAAACTCTTATCGCTCAATTAAAGTGTAGAAGTCACGAAAAAAGTGATCGACTTCTAATTTCCATTCTAGTTTTCACTATTGGCAGCAGAACGAAAATTTTACTTAATAAACCAGATTTCTCAAATTGAGTAAAGTTTATTGCGCCTGCAAACTTCAATCCAGATTTCTCAAATTGAAAAAATATTTTTTGCGCTTGCAAACTTTATTGCGCTTGCAAAAAGTTCAACCTGTCATGCGTTTCCGGCCAACTTGACCTGTAGGTCACGAAAATACCTGGGACGGCAAAGGGTGGGTCGAATCTAACGTTTTGCGGATCTTCTGACTTTTTCTCGAAAGTTTTTTTAAATCTGATATTGTAGGTTCAAAAGAACTGGTTGTGGGAAGCTCCATTGTCTTAGCGGGCACTTACAAAATTTTTTAAACTAAAATTTTTGATTTTTTGACCGTTTTTCAACTTTTTGAATATTCTCGAAAATTTAGACCAAAAAATTGCGTTTTTCGGCGCGCGCTCCCCCTTCAAAGTTTGTATATATTGGCGCCAAAGGCGCCTTTCGAAAAGTTTTAGGGTCCGTCACCAAAATGGATTTCTTAGAAAGTATCAAAGGGGGACCCTTTGAGACGGCAGGGGTCGAATTCCTGAGAGGGGGTCGTGCGCCCCCCCCCCCCCCTAAATCCGGTGGTAATGTCATACACTTTTCACTTTGAAATTCGAACGTTAGTCTTTCTAAAAAAAACCAAATCAGTTGCTTTTCTTGCGTTCCTTGACTCTTTTACAACTGTCTGTTAGCTATGTTAAGTATCTATCAGCTTTCAAAAAACTACTGGAAAATTTAAGACACCCTAACAAAAGCAAAGACTGTTTCTTTCCATGCATGCTATCAGTAGCTTCCAGCAAAATGTTGAAGTTATTTTACTTTCACGAACTTCAAAAGTTTAGAGGATATCTTTTTGTAACGGATATTTGTTTGATTTAGCTTTTAACTGATGCTCAATTTAGGTCTCCTGTGATTGCTGTGATTTTAACGTTATTGAAGTGACCGACCAGAAATAAGTCAGCTTCCAAACATTCATGATGGTCAATTTTGCCTCTTTAACGCAGCTAGTGAATTTAAACTTGCAACAAGACTGCTCGTATCAGGGCGAGCCCCGAATGTTCCGGCTACCTTTTAAGGTCTATTGAGCATTAATAAGATGAAACAATTTAAATGTAAAAAAAAAATTAAACATATATATTTTTTTTAAATTGAGATTTTTGTAAAAGTTATCTCCCCACACACCATATAAATTATAAAATGATAGATTTCGCTCCCATGAACAAATCAGTTTGGCAATTAAGCTTCCTTTAACCAATTTGGAACAATTTTTAAGACGGATTAAATCTCCGCTTACACGTTAATAGCGCGAAATATATCGCGCGTTGATTGTCCCAAATTGGCCGAAATGGCAATCTTTAATCCTCCGTACTTTGCGAAAAAATATCAAAGGTGAAAATTTTTTCAAAGTTAAGCTCAGGAGAACAATACCTGTTTCGAATGATGTCAAAAAATTCCAGCAAAAACGGCTAGTTAAAAAGCCGAAATTTGTCTGAAAAAAAAATCCCTATCGAGCACAAATATTCCGTTATTTTCGTTACGAAAGTCGAAACAAAAAATACAGTGCTGATTTAAATTATCCGGACAAAACGAACAAAACTTGAATTTTCAAACGCGTTTTTCTCAAATTGAGTTAAGATTAGACAAAAAGTGAACAGAACAAAAGTTGCTTAGAATTTCACCAGAATTATTATGGTGCAATTTTTTCTCCGAAAATCTCAACAAAAATTTTACCCCAAAAATGGGTCATTTTGGCTTTTTTCAATTAATCAAGAATTACGCTGAAACTATTTTGTTAATTGATGAGAAAATTATATCACATGAAGCCTCCTACATAGCCCAACAAAGTTAAAGAAGGGTTAAATCTTCAAAAACCAGTAAAAGAGAAAAAATTTTCACTCGATAGTCAATAAATGTGATTTTTACTATATAAAACCCAGAATCTCTGTTTAAAAACAAATTTTAAACAATTTGAGCAAATTTTTGGAGATTTAACCCTTCTTATGCTTTGTTGGGCTATGTAGGAGGCTTCTTGTGATATAATTTTCTCATCAATTAACAAAATAGTTTCAGCGTAATTCTTGATTAATTGAAAAAAGCCAAAATGACCCATTTTTGGGGTAAAATTTTTGTTGAGATTTTCGTAGAAAAAATTGCACCATATTAATTCTGGTGAAATTCTAAGCAACTTTTGTTCTCTTCTTTTTTTGTCTAATTTTAACCCAATTTGAGAAAAACGCGTTTGAAAATTCAAGTTTTGTTCGATTTGTCCGGATAATTTAAATCAGCACTGTACTCAATATTATAATAATTTCCTGAGAACAACCTGCAAGTCGAAAATAAAGTATGGGAAGTCGATTTCATGGTGATCATTAATATTGTTTTTCTTTCTATTTTTTTTTTCGAATAGTAATTGCTTTTCATTTCTTTGGTCTTTTCTGCAAGCTGGAACCATTTGCATCTAAATATGATAGTAAGAAAAATTCTGATACTTCAAAAAAATGTTGATAAGTTTTAAAATTCTCATAATTCATTGCAAAGCTTTTTTAAGAAACCAATTGATTCAGAAAAGTATAATTTTGTAATTTTCATTGAATTTTTGAAGACTGGAGACGTGTTATTAAACCAAGAGGCAAATTTTAAAAAAAAATTATCGAAAAATGTATCAAATCAGTAGAAACATGATAATATCTACTTTACTTATACATCGCGTACTTGATTAAGCATGATTCCATTTCTCACTTGTTTTAAGTACTGGGAAAAACGTTGCGGGTGAATGATTACACTAGCAATTTTAAAAGTTATATATTGTGCAGAGGTGCTACGAAAGGTTATCAGGCGTGCGTGTCCACTCATAGTCCATGGTGCCACTGTTGCAGCCGAAAGTGATTAGGTTGTGGTAGACTTAAGGCTAGATG